TGTTAGACATTCGTACATTGATCTCCAAAGAGCTGGAAGGAACGGAAGCAACGATGCCAGCTTGGACTCCGGTGTGGACATGAATGAACCAAAATCTGCCCGGAAGGGAAGAGGGGATCCCTTGTCCCTTTCACAGAACCACCCACCTGTCCAGGAGCACCCCCAGAAAGAACTCCGGGCTGCGGACAGCACCGCCTATACGCAGCTCGTCTACCTGGACGACATGGACCAAAGTGGCAGTGAGTGTGGCACCACCGCCTGTACCCCCGAGGACAGTGCTCTGCGGTGTTTGCTGGATGGCTCTAGCCGGAGGAGCGGCAGCCAGCTACCCAGCCTGCAGGAGGAGACGACAAAACGAACTGCAGATGTCCCCCCAGAGCCACTGGCCAGTCCCGAACAGAGAAGACCTGCTCAGGAGGAAGAGGAAGATGACGAAGATGACGACGACCAAGGAGAAGACAAGAAGAGCCCCTGGCAGAAGCGGGAGGAGAGACCCCTGATGGCGTTTAACATCAAGTGAGCTCCTACAGAGCCACCCAACAGTGGCGTCCAAAGTTGCCAAAAATTCTTTCTTATTGGAAGCTCTTGGCTGTTTGTGAAGGAAGTCAAACAGCGCCAACCGTGGGAAGTGGACTTTGCTACGATGTGCTATACATGCTAGTTACTACTCAGAATAAAGGATGATGTTAATGGAGGCCTCACCTCCAGGAAGGTGGCTGAACGCAGTGTCTGAATGTGTTCCACGCACTGGACGCGTCTGCCCGAGGACACTGAAAAGCCACAAGTGATGTTGCTAGGTTCTAATAACCTCAGTTCTCCCTCAGATCCTGGGAACAGATAAAACTCTTTTTGCATTGCTTGAATCAGTTGTATCATGATAATGCTACTGTGAAGTTATCATTGAGAAATGAGCTTGGCACTTAGTGTCTCAAGGTATGCATTATCTCAAAGGAAAGCTATGCATCGCTGCTTCGTGATCTGATTTTGCTCAGACGTTTGCTTTGGTTAGGTTTCGTTTCCAGTTTGCTTTTTAAAAAACAAACAAACAAACAAAAAAACACAATTTGGCTGTAAAGGTTTTATTCCTTCATTTTAATCTGTTCTGTTTCTTGGTGGTTTATTTCAGTGTCTCCTTTCAGGAACTCCTCAGTGTCATCTCTTAACATCCAAGCCTTTTAATGAAATCATACTGAAATTTCCATCAGCTAAGAGTCCTTCGATCCTGGTCCCATTAACTCCAAGTGCCTTTTTTACAGTGACAACAAACAGTCCCTCACTCTTTTGTTGTTTTTCTTAGCTCCTTTTATTGAACTGCCTGGATTTTATAAAGTTATTAAATGATACCCTTTTTGTTAGACTGCATGCCAAGTGCCCAATTGTGCTCAGAATTCTCATTTCAACGCAGTGTACTCTCTAGCTCTCATGTGTGATGTGGATTCTGTTTAGCTAAGATAGACTAGAGGACACTTTAGAGATACCCCTCCCCACTCCATCCCTTTGGCCGCTGGCCACCATTATGGTTTTATTGGCTGTTTGTATATATGGTTACGTATTAACTCTGGAATCCTATGGGCTAATCTTGCTCACCAGACATGGAGTATGGAGTGAGCAAGTGGGCTGAATGTGACTATTAAAAAAATCTTATGTACTATCCAAAAGTGCCAGAATCACTCTTCTGTGCATTCTCCTTAAAGAGCTGCTTGGTTATCCAAAAATGAACATTCAAAATAAACTCTGAAGAAAAAAAAAGCTATCTTATGGGCTTTTTCCTTCTTTCTGAGCCATTATTCCTTTCAAAGTTGTTCTTGAAATGTGCTGTTCTTTTCTCCGCAGCCAGAAATGCTGGTTGTTGAACTAATATTCAGAGACCACCACATAGACACCCAGAAATTTACACTATGATTAAAATCCACCTTGGTGTTTAGTTCCAATCAACAACACAAGGAAGCATTTGCGTTTCAGGTTGGAAGCAGTGGGTGCATTTTAGAAGAAAGTGATGTTTTAGCCTCTTATGTTCATTATTGATCCATCTTAGAACAGCTTCAAAAAGGTTCATTAAAATGACCAGAACCATCTCACATGTGTATAAAACAACTCATCAATATCATTATTAGAGATGTGGGGGCACAGAACAGATTTTGGAACTAAATTAAGTGGACTATGTTCATTCAAAGTCTTTTTTCCTGAATTCCATGCAGACAGTAGACTAATCAAGCCTATTCTTATTGTCCTATTTTCTCAAATGCTGTTGATCAGCAAGTTGCTTTTAAGGGGGCAGGCAAATGGTTGAGAGCCTCTTGACTGTGTTGGAACATATAAATGGATGGAGTCTGTGGTCCTATGATGAGAGACCGCTTGGGGGTGGGCGTTCTCACTAACAGGTGGCGAGTGAGTGTTCTCAAGCTTTCCTGAGACTCTAGGGAGCACCATCAAAACCAAAAGTGACTGGTCTCTCTAGGAAGACCCAAGACCAGACAGATGACCTAGAAAGTGCTGGAAAATCCCAGCCCTACCAAAAGAGGCCAAAGGAATCATTTCCATAAGGCATCAGTTTCCAGAAGAGTTTACATTGCTTGTTACCTGTGAACAGTAAGAAGCAGATTAACAATCAGTGCTGATCGATTATGGGAGATGTGGCAGGAAGACGGGGTTGTAGGATGGGGACTGACTCCTCTGAGACAGTGGGCCCTACATGTGAAAAGTAGAATTGAGCAGCCACTGGTGGTCCCAAAACTCTGTGTGCCTAGGAATAAAAGGAATTGTGTTTGCCAAAGGGAAACTGGTTCTTCCAAAGACAAACCTTAACTTATTTTACACCTGTCCAAAGTGAGGACCAGAGGTTAACGTATTTTGCTCATGGTGCCAATGTTAATCACTAGGCTAGAACTTTCTGGAAGCAACTGGCTTAAGTATTCATCTTCTCTCTAAAGGTAAAATATGTTACAGTATTTTGTTTCCTAATCCAATCAGATAATCCATGTCTTTTAATTGGTATCCTTAATCAATTATGCTGTCTGAAGAGCTAGAGCCAGCAAAGGCATTTCGCTTCCGCCACCTAGTGGTGAGTTTTCCTCTGGCTATTAAAAGACCCGACAAACAGCCTCCAAGACCTGCTCTGGGAAGATGCGCTGCTTGTGCACTTAAGTCACTGTTCTGTCCTCCTGGAGAGGCAGGTAGGTGAAGAGGTAAGAGCTGATATTTCTGTTGAGTTTGGGAACAAGCATTCACTTCCCAAAATCTTGCGAGAAACATATGTTTATTCTTCTTTGTTTTATACCTAAGTAAATTGAGGCTTGCAAGTTAAATAACTGAGATCACTGAACTAGAAGTGATGGTATGCTACTTAAACTTTCTGAAAATTAATGCAGTTAAGTTATAAGTATCCCTGATAAAGGATGCATAGAACACAACTTACAAATCACAGTAAAATATATAACAATAAATTCCATTAACAGTTGTTTCTCACAGAATACTTTCATTGATTTTATTTTTATCATAGCTAACCTGCTTTTGCAATTAGCCAAAGGGTGTAGCACTGACAGGAACATTGGATGATTTTTTTTTTACATTAATGATGAAAATGAAACTGAAAAACTGAAGATGCAGAATTTTACTGGTTCATCAATCATGAAGGCATTTCTTTACTGTATCAAACAATAATTTTGAATACTGGAGGTCCCACATTTGGGGCCAAGGAACCAATCAGAGTCTCTATCTTTCACTTTCTTTCCCACCTCCCTCCCTATCTCACCCCCACTAGAACTGGGAGGGTGGTGCTAGTAATAGAATTGCAATATGCAAACCTCTAAAGTTGTTCATAATCATATTACCTCACCTAACTCAATCTTCTGTCAATGCCAATCATAGGTGTCATTGTAAGTGTAGGTACCGTTCTGATGATGCAAACCCCCATAGATACAACCAAAATCCAAAAGTAAAATAATTGGGTGGTGCACCACCCCAGTAACTTTCCAGTGAAGTCCCTATTTTGCCTGAGGCATCCAGACCCCAGTAAAAGAAAATGAACTTGACACACAAGAAAGTGTTCAAAGGAGAGTCCTGGCAATGTTCGAGACTTCAATTGTTGAAGTTGCTTCTGAAGTACAACCCTATCATTAGTCATACACATCATGTTTTTATTCTTCCCATTTCATTATTTAAAACATCCCAATAACCTTCTAATAAATTACCCTTTGTTTCCTATTAGTTCAAGTTTATTTGTCTTTAGTGTCTAATAGAACCCAAAAATACAGGCCAGATGTAAACTAATAAACCAAGGAGTCCTGCTCCTGGTGAAAAACCTTTTTTCGGTCCAACCAGAGGGAATTACAGAGCTTTGCCTGGCAGGCCTCAAGGGGGAGTGACCCTTCCAACTCCAAACTCAGTGCCTGGCCAGTGTGCTACAGTCTCTGAAAGGAATGCCTGCGTCTGCATTCATGAGAGGGTGGTGCCTGCCTGGTTTTCAGGGCTCCTCACTAGTAAGATGATCCCCGATCCACTGATCCTCACCTGGTGCCATTCAGTAGAAATAATGAAGCTTAGGGGAAGCTGGAGCTTTGCCCACTAGCCCCTTGCTTATATTAGCTCAGCACATGGTGAACACTTGCCAGTTACGGTCAGCAACAGTCCACCTCTGGTCTTAGGGACGTCGACATCTGGCATTCAGTTTTTGAAATAAACCAGTCAGCAAAAATGGGATATGTTTTTGCATTAAGTTACACAAGCACAAGTCAGATACTAAGATATACTGTGCTTGAAAAGGTAATACTGAAAAAAAGAAGCAGCAAAGGTAATACCAGATATATGTGTGTGTGTGTGTGTGTGTGTGTGTAAACCTCTTGAAGTTTTCCTCCTGACTTCTATGGAAATATGTGTAAGTTTTCATTGTAAAATCCTAGATAATTCACACTACCTGATTATATTCATACATTACCTTAATAGCAATCATCGCCATGGCAATACCACATATTCTCATTTGGCTGGATGGACAGTGCTCTCCATTGTACATGAAACTAAAGAGCATTCTTGACTTCCCCTACCTTTATAGCATTTTACCATAATCAATATAGAGAAGCTATTTAAGAATCATGAATTTTCTGAATGGTAAAGTCATTCCTAATGCAGTTCACAAAAACATTCTTTACCTTTGATATTAAGGAGGAAGTCAGAACAAAAATCTTTATCCAAACTAAGATGCAGAAATTGTCTAACAGTGGGCTTTTTAATTAACATATATGTCAAGTCTCATGTTTGTATTGATTCAGTTGGTTTTGGTTAAATTAAAAAACCTACTCTTCTCTCTCCTTCCCTCCGCCATCGTGTTCTGTGCCATCTCCCCTTCCCTGCTATGTCTTCTCACAAGTCTTTCAGGATCAAGCGATTTCTAGCCAAGAAACAAAAACAGAACCGTCCCATTCCCCAGTGGATTCGGATGAAAACTGGTAATAAAATCAGGTACAATTCCAAGAGGAGACACTGGAGACGAACCAAGCTGGGTCTGTAAGGATTCGCACGGAAACGGCGCATGTATTTATGCTGTTGCTATCAGCAGTATTGGCTATGAAAATGTCACTGCTGTGGACGTGTAATAAATATGTGAGCTGTTGAAAAAAAAAAATCTACTCTTCCCCACTTTTTTTTACTTAACTTGGCTTTCTTTAAGTCCTGCATCTAACCTGTCTGTATTCTTTGGCAGGTATATCTGTGAACTTGAATAGGTGGGAAAAAGTGACTTTGTGGTTGTATCTTGACGTAATATGCACCATAATATGAGCCAAAAGCACATAACATGAATATATATTCACAAAAGTAAGCTTCCATGTCAATGTCATCACAGGTGACATTTTGAGAAAGTGCCTTTTCAGTTAAGACAGAGCCCACAATCCAAAGGTAAAACAGATAAAGACTTGGATGCTAGGAGAGCCTGAAAAGGAAGCCCACAAAGTAAGACACTAGAGATAGAAAGTCAAGAGTTTTCAGAGAAAATAGGTCGGCTTCAATCCTATTCACTAGGACTCATGCATTTCTTTGGATGTTTACTCTCAGTGACCAGTTTATTCTCTACGTAGATGTACCTGAGAAATGTAAACTCGTTATCACATAACATCCAGAATTTTCTTTTTTTTTAAAGATTTTTTATACATACAACTGGGGTACAGGCCAGAGGTGTGGGGAGTTAAAAGTGTTCACCATAGTCAGAGTGGGGAGAACAGGCAGATGTACTGAAATACACTGCTGAGGGGAGCAGCAGGCTAGACAGAAGAGGTCTGCCACGCCATGTGGGTCACCTCCCTGGCTGGGGGTCAAACTCATGCTGCAGTGGCTGCGGATAGATTCCTAGTGCTGTGCTTTAGCCCATTGCACCACCAGGGAGGGCCCACATCCTGAGTTTTCAACTGCACCTTAACTGTTTATTTTAAATGAATGAAAAATTTTCATCCCACTTTTTACAACACGAATGGCATGGAGGATATCATGCTAAGTGAAATAAAACAGGCAGGGAGAGACAATTGCTGCTTGGCATCACTTCTGTGTGGAATCTTTTTTTTTAAAGATTTATTTATTTGTGCATACAGAACTGGGGTACAGGTCAGAGGCTCAGGGGCAATGAGAGGCTTCACCAGAGACAGAGTGGGGAGCAGAACAGGCAGATCCACGAAGTACACTGCTGAAGAGAGCAGCGGGTGGGCCAGGAGAGGTCTGCCATGCCATGTGGCCACCTCCGGGGCAGGCGGGGATAGAACTCATGCTGAAGTGGCTTTAGCTTCTCAGTGCAGTGCTTTAACCCGATGCGCCACCAGGGATAACCCTGTGTGGAATCTTAAAAAAAAAAAAGTCAAACTCAGAAACATGGAGTAGAAAAGTGGCCATGGGTGGGAGCAATATAGAGGTTGGTAAAAGGGCACAAACTAAGAGTTGTGATGAATAAGGTCTGAAGATCTAATATAAAAATAGTGACTTTAGTTGATAATACTGTATTGTTTAACTGAAATTTGTTAGTAGTATTTAAATGTTCTCATAAGCGAGAAATCTGTGAAGAGATGGATGTGTTAATTAACTGACCTTCATCAAAACATGTTCTTAACCTTTACCCTCGGGAATATTAGCTGTCAAATGATGGCATCTGCTCTGAGTACTAGTCTCTTGTTTTCAAGAACACCATGGTAACAAAGACTTTTTTCTCATTGGTGAGTAACCTTTAGAATAATTAGGAAAATGCTTCAGTATGACTCAATTTTTTTTCCTCCCTCTGTCCTTTGAGGCCTATAACTTGACCTGTCATAGGAATTCAGGGTTCCAGAAACCCTTGGTAGATGAAGTCACTGCATTCTCCACGAAATTACTCACAAACTGGATTATCTGTTATCTGTTTCCTTTGATAAAGTCACTGCCCATTGTTCTGATGTGTGAATCTACAGATAAAATCATGTGGTTGCACTTCCTTCAGCTATTCATACCCTGAGAACAGCCACAACAGCTGGCTGATGACTGCCTCCAGCCTCCTGGTTCCCACTGTAATCAACCCCAACAGAAAAACATATTCAGTTGTTTTAAGTGGATGTGACTAGGAAATTCTCACCCCAAGAATCTCTATTCACAATCTTGCTTTGGAGTGCCACACGAATTCCTGATTAGTCTATGAACCCCCAAGTCGTTAGGTAAGCAATGGCTAGGGGGAAGGTGGACCACCCACTTTACCCATAAGCTTGCTGCCATCTTAGAGGATCATGCTTCTTCCCACACTGCCAGGCCCCGACCCTGTATTATTTCAATAAACTTCCAATTTGCTAAAAGAACAAATATATATATTAGAGACATTAAGGCACAAGCATTAAGGATATAACACCCGGATGTCTAATGAAATCTCCCACCTCAGGGATGACTGAGTAAAACTAAAGGGACAGAAATCCCGGACCCCTAAAAGATGGTGAGAAGAGTTAGTAGGCAAAGTTCACATGCTTCTCCTTTAAAGCCATCCAAGATCTCACTGTTGTGATCAGAGAGAGCATCTTTTAACAGATAATATTCTGCCTGTCGGAGTAAACAATCATGTGGAATAAGGTGGGCCCACAGCTTCCTCTCCCTAGAAGCAGCTACACACCCTGTAGTTAAATAATGTGGCAGCCACACCCAACAAAGAGCTAAGCGACCTCAAAGAGGTCAGTCAGATTTACCTACAAATTTAGCTTCTTCTGTTAGAAGAATGAGAGCTAATCTTGCAAGAATCCTGGGTTGAGTCAGAAAGGGAAAGGATTTCTCCAGGTTGATGCTGGTGTAGCAGAAGGTCATTGTGCAGAAGTGACAGACTCCTTTCCTCCACTGCTCAGCAGATGTTTAGTTTGGGTAGGATTGACTTCAGAGATAGACTCTTATTTGGCCAAAGATAATGAACATAAACATATTCTGCTGCTGGTGACTCATCAAGGAATGAGCACATGGTCTAAGTTAGTCTAATTAGAATGTAATTAAAGACTCTTTGTTCTCCCACTGTAGGAAAGAGAAACTTTTTCAGTGCGATCGGAAGAGCACACGTCTGAACTCCAGTCACTGCTCGACATCTCGTATGCCGACTGGAAAAAAAAAAAAAAAAAAAAAAAGCAGATCATGAGAAAGGAATTACAGGGAAACTGAGCTGGAGCCCTGATCAAACCATACCTGAAACCTTTCTTTGCCACTGGGCTTTTAGAGTATGACCTAATAAATCCCATTTTATGGGATTTTTTAAAGCTAAATTATGTTTTCCTCTCCATCCACATAAATTTGGCTCTGTGCAGAAGGAAACTACATGCAACAAACTTTGAAAGGTAAGATTGGCTAGGTAAGTAGAGGTGAAAGTAGAGAGAACAACTCTCTATTAGACTAGGAAAATGGCAGTCCTTTTGTATAATAGCAGTAATTTGGGATTCGGCAATGTGACTACCAAAATCTAACACAACTTTTTGTAGAAAAATTTAAGATGTTGGAGTATGTTGATTGCAGCTCTCCAATGGAGATCCTACCAGAAACAGTCATGCTTAGGCTTAGGAAAGAAAATATTGTTCAATTATAATGTGATGTTAGCAAATGTCTTCACAGAGCCTGCAATTCAAGAAATAGCTGACAGTATCAAAATCTGGAATCTGATACAGTTGAAAAAGTCAAACTCTTAAACTGAGGGAAATCTTGCAGGATTGATGAGCAAGGTTCAAGAGAGGCATGATTTTCTCACTGCTAAACTTGAAGATGATGACTCCAGTTGCACAGATGGCAGGCTGCAGCAGGAGCAGGGGACAGAGCCATTATTTTTAATTCCCCTGGGGCACAAACAGAAGCATGGCCATTAAATTAAGTGCTGGAGTGTATAAAATGCACAGAAAATAGTTTCACATCTAAAGGCTATGCTAGATATGCTCTCTGGTTTTGGTTACTTGCTATTCTGAATAGTTTGTTTCTTCACCTTAACTTCATGCACTGATGTCAGCACTCTTTTCCCATTCAGCACTCTTATAATTGAATCTAGTTGGGTAAAGAGCTATTTCGTAGGACTCACAATCTTTAGTTTCCCATCCAATATATTTTTATTATTTATTTGGCTGATAATATAGGTCATAATATCTCCATAACTATGAATGGGAAAATGAAAGAATATGAAGTAAATGCTTCTAAAACCTGGCTTATTTCTTTATCATACATTTACAGCAGATTTGCTGGTTTTTACATATGGAGTTTTGTGTAATTACTTTTTCTAAAATGATTTCACTGGATTAAAAAAAAAACATTGTCCTGAATAATGGCAACAAAAATTTGTTCTTAAATAGTAGTTCTATTATGTTTAAAAAAAATTGAAAGTAGTGGCCCTCCC